GGTAATATTTTCGTGCTCCATAGAGCAATTTCACTTCGCAGCTGTTGTTAAGGCTGAGAATTGAACTTTTCGGCCGATGTACGCTCCGGCCTTCTTCATGTGATTGGAATGTTGAACTGAACCCTTTATTTCGTTCGCTGGAGTAGACTGTTCTAGTTCCACGTGCCATGTCTAATGAATGTCAGTTATCATGCCAACAAAGATGAGCACAATAGTCCGAATGAGGTAAACAGAGCAAACCTGAAATAAAGAAAAATATATGAGGTTTGAAAGAGCCATCTTATGAGACAGAATGTGTGGTTATCAACAAATAAAAGATCGGGGGTACTAAAATCAAGCAGGCAAAGAAATTTCAATATCTGGGAAGTGTTCGGACAGAGAACGTAATGTGCGACACTAAGACCCGAAGACGTATTGCGATGGCCAATTGCAATAGACTATTTTCTCTAACAAGATCCCACATTTGATGAAAGTGACGATAAAAAAAACAGTCGATTAGAATTAATACAATGTTTATATCCTGATGAAGCATCTATAGTGCTGAAACATGATTGCATTTATGTAGCGGTTTATAACATGTTCTTGCTAAAATTGTTAATAAAATATATTACTAAACTCAACCTCGCATTGAGCACTTTTTAAAATATACTGTTAGGGCATTGAATTACACTCGATTGGAACCCACCGATATATATATATATATATATATATATATATATATATATATATATATATATATATATATATAATGGACTCTCCGTCGTTTTCGACGTATGAGGATCTGACAGCTTATTGATTCAGTTATGAAAGTTTGTGCGATAATCTTAAGTGGCATTTAAGACCCGCTAGTGATTTACAAAGGAGGTCACATATGAAGCAAGTATGCGATCACTGTTCGATTGGCTGACCTTTTAGATCTTGCTCTCCCTTCTTGAAGATGATTCAGAGAGGCAGATTGAAAATTGCTGAGTTTACTAAAACACGTTGATCTTCATTCTACCCGCTCCAAGGCTAAGCGCCCAAGGGTGTTATGTGGTACATTGACTGCAGACAAGTTGCTTTTCAGCTTGTCTTTGCATCTTAGCCATGGGCCTCCTTCATTCTTGTAGCCCTTATCTTACTGGCTGTACATTAGGATCTTGGGCATCCTGTCATCAGATATTCTCAAGACATGACCAGTCCACCGTAACTGAGACTTTATGAGAAAAGTCTCGATTCTTCCAATATTACACCTGTTAAACAGGTCTACGTTAGATGTCCTATTTTGAAGCTTAACTCCACAAATTGCACGCAGACAGCTTTTATGTTATTTTAAAGGCGAGTCTAGTACAATAATAATAGAAATTATCATATTCAAATTATTAGTTGTTATTCTTAGGTTTTCTTTCAATTCATTTTTTGTTACCGAAATTATCAGTGCTGTACATGCGTTTATCTCGCTCATGATTTACTCAACAGTTTTATTCAAATCGTTGGGGTCGTGGACCCGGTAAAAAGTTGTTGTTTTGACGAAATTTAAGGACGCTCTATTTTTTTTGTTTTTAACTTGTACCTGTAATACTTGCAACTTGTGCTATTTGAAGCTTTCAGAGACAGTCCTAATGATGGATATCACTCGAAAAAAAGAGGAATAAAGGAGAGCAAGACCATGAATATTTATCCGTTGCATCTGAAAATGCAACTTCCATGAATGTTGTTAAAGATGATAATCTTAGCTGGCAAACATTGACTTTTTTTTTTTAGCCACGGAAACTGTATTATATCTCCTGTTTGATGACTGACGATGGCAGAGTATCTCACTTGCCTACACACATTGGATGTAGAAAATGGAGACATCTAAGAAGATGAAATTTCCTTTAAATTTGTTTTTTCTAAAAGTAATAAATTTATATTTATACAAATAGACAATGCAAATACATACATGTAATTCCATTATGTACAGATCATAAGAAATATACATATGAATTGTCGATGCTACGTAAAGGAAGCTAGTGAACAGAGTTTGTCTTTGATTTATTACACGTTGGTATAATGGGTCGAAATGCATAATGTGTTTCTTGCTGTGGGTCGTATTAAAAAAAAAAAAGAGAATCATTGACTTATTGCGTTAAGATGGCAGTTTCGTTCTTTTTCTTTATTATGAAATGAATTTTTCTTACGATTGTTCTTACATGAGCCAGCATGTAAATAATTTAACTAACACAATTAAGTTAGCTAACTAGTTTTCACTAACACAGTTTTCGACAGTATGGATTTATATTATGCTAAGCATTACTTATTTATTAGTCTGTTTATTTACAAGAATAGTTTTTAAAGCTCTTGCTGACAATTCTCGATAAGAAAAGGAGACCGCATCAATTCAGTTTGATGTGTGAGGTGACTTATTTACATATGAAGTCATAAAGACTACAGCTATTACCCACGAGACAGTTGAGTGCATACTACTTTCCGCAAGTAGATAACGCTACACAACAATAAGTTTGGGTTTTTTAGTTATTCTAAAAATAAATGTAAAAATATAAATACTGTTGGGGTGTATAATAATGGTGAAAATTTAAAAAAATAATGTCCTTTTTACACATCGTTTTTTTTTAGGTACAAATAGATTAGACAGTACCCAGGAATCTTTAAAACCTAACAACTTGCTTAGTATATCCCACTTGATTTAAGACCTCTGATTTTTTTTTTTTTTTTTTTTTTGGTGGTGTGGTGTTGCTTAATTTATTCACACTAAAATCTGTTTTCTTCATTGATTTGAATGGGCGAGAAGCTTGTTATCAGTTCGTGAAAAAGAATTGAGAATGAAATCCAATTGTATGATCTATGAATAATATTTTGCGAAAAGGAAAAAAAAAGGAAGACGATCTTGATGTTTAGCGTAATTTCGGTAGCGATATATTCACGCCTGAAGACGTAAATAATTTTGTAGGCATGTTTAGATTGGTCATTGCCATTCCGGGAACGGATAAGTCGAAAGTGAACACGTTAAACAATTAAAGAAACGAAAACAGAAATCGATTTTTGATATTTAAGGTGATAGATTTATATAGAAAGTCTCAAAGAATCGGTGACACTGCACGACAATAAGTTTAGGTCTTATTGTAATTAAAAAAAATAACTGTAAAATATAAATAATGCTGTGCGCGTATAATAACGGTGAAAACAATTGTTCTTTTTACAGATTGTTTTTTTTGAGGAGGGGTACAAATATTAGACAATACCTAGGAACATTTACATACTATCAACTTACTCAGTCTACCCCACCTAATTTAAGAACCATGATTTTAATTTATTTTCCTCACACTGTAATCGTTTGTTTTCTTCCTTGATTTGCATGGTCCCAAAGCTTGTTATCTGTTCGAGAAAAAATTGTGAATTTATCTATCTATCTATCTATCTATCTATCTATCTATCTATCTATCTATCTATCTATCTATCTATCTCTACCTTTGAGAATTGAGAAGTCGAGTTGTATGATCCATGACCAATGTTTCAGCGGAAAAAAAAAAAGAAGAATATCTATCTATCTATCTATCTATCTATCTATCTATCTATCTATCTATCATCTATCTATCTCTCTATCTTTGAGAATTGAGAAGTCGAATTGTATGATCCATGACCAATGTTTCAGGAAAGAAAAAAAAAGAAGAATATCTATCTATCTATCTATCTATCTATCTATCTATACCTTTGAGAATTGAGAAGTCGAGTTGTATGATCCATGACCAATGTTTTTAGCGAAAAGAAAAAGAAAAAGATCTATCTATCTATCTATCTATCTATCTATCTATCTATCTATCTATCTCTACCTTTGAGAATTGAGAAATCGAGTTGTATGATCCATGACCAATGTTTCAGCGGAAAAAAAAGAAGAAGAAATCTATCTATCTATCTATATCTATTCATCTATCTATCTATCTATTTCTACCTTTGAGAATCTATCTCATCTATCTATCTATCTCTTTGAGAATTGAGAAGTCGAATTGTATGATCCATGACCAATGTTTTAGCGAAAAGAAAAAGAAAAGATCTATCTATCTATCTATCTATCTATCTATCTATCTATCTATCTATCTATCTCTACCTTTGAGAATTGAGAAGTCGAATTGTATGATCCATGACCAATGTTTTAGCGAAAAGAAAAAGAAAAGATCTATCTATCTATCTATCTATCTATCTATCTATCTATCTATCTATCTATCTCTACCTTTGAGAATTGAGAAATCGAGTTGTATGATCCATGACCAATGTTTCAGCGGAAAGAAAAAAAAGAAGAATATCTATCTATCTATCTATCTATCTATCTATCTATCTATCTATCTATCTATTTCTACCTTTGAGAATTGAGAAGTCGAGTTGTATGATCCATGACCAATGTTTCAGCGGAAAGAAAAAAAAAGAAGAATATCTATCTATCTATCTATCTATCTATCTATCTATCTATCTATCTCTACCTTTGAGAATTGAGAAGTCGAATTGTATGATCCATGACCAATGTTTTAGCGAAAAGAAAAAGAAAAGATCTATCTATCTATCTATCTATCTATCTATCTATCTATCTATCTATCTATCTATCTACCTTTGAGAATTGAGAAATCGAATTGTATGATCTATGACCAATGTTTCAGCGGAAAGAAAAAAAAGAAGAATATCTATCTATCTATCTATCTATCTATCTATCTATTCTCTTTCTATTTCTACCTTTGAGAATTGAGAAGTCGAATTGTATGATCCACTACCAATATTTTTGCGAAAAGAAAAAAAAAAGAACAAGAATATCTTGGTGTTTGGTGTAATTTCGGTAGCGATATATTAACGCCTGAAGACATAAATAATTTTGTAGGCATGTTTGGATTGGCCATTGCTATTCCGGGGATCGATAAGTCGAAAGTGAACATGTTAAACGATTAAAGAAGGTTACAAGCGACAAATGCTCACTTGAAAATTATGTGTTATGTGCAAATTACAGCCAAGTGTCATCTATATTTGGATTAACGATT